ATATTTCCCTGGTTCTAACCTGACAGTGGAATAAGACACCAATCTATATTAGCTGTGTAAATGGCCTTGCTCTCTGAAACCAAGGTTAGGTGTACATATCTTTACTACCATTGTCTGGATGACCAATAGAGAGGAGCAAAGTTATCTTTTTGGTAGCCCTGTAGTTTTCTGCAGAGATATGGGACAAAATATCCAAACTAAAAATGTTTTTGGAAAATTTTCCAGTGTCAAATTTCCCATACATTTTTTTTTTTTTTACTTTAGGCAGATTTGACAATTTCAAAGTTAGATAATATTTACTTTTCAGGTGATTGTTTTTAAAATCTGAGAAGTTAATGGTGCATGGAATTGCATCTTATTTTATTGCCTATTGTATCGCCCAATGTTTTTTCAATTTTATTTCCAACATTTAAATAAAAAGTTTTTTCCATACCTGAAAGTTTTTTGTTTTTTAAATATGTTGCTCAACCTTTAAAAATTGGGTAGTTTTTTTTTTTACATCAAATAATGTGCATAACATACTAGTGAAGACTCTGGATATTGATACAACTATGGCAGGCAGATGTTGAGATCTAATACAGAGTCTGCAAGCTTATCTTAGGAATACTGCCTTAATATCAATGGAAGATTTATGATGATGTGACCTAGATTGGTAATGAAATATTTGCAACAAATAATCAAGCTCAAAGAGCACCACGGACTCCACATTTCAACCCTGAGCTACAGCTATTCTCTTCTACTTTAGATTTACGAGAATTAGATTAGTGAGAAACAAATGAATTGGGCATACTGACCTAGAATTGGATAATAAGAAACTCAACTTCAGGAATAGATATTAGTGATGGAGACGAAACTAGAGCTGGAAAGTAGGTGAGATAGCTGGAAATTAAAGGAAGAGACAGTAACGATGGAAGGAAGGATTGATTGATCAAATTTATATGGCCGCCCACCTCACACGAAATGATTCTGGGTGGCATACAACAATTAAGCAACAAATAGATAAAAGTAATTAGAAAACTATAAAAATCATGGGTGCCATCTTTATGTGAATGATCCAGGTTTCATTTTAGGTGTATTGGCATCTATGGTTACCTCCTGCTAGACTGGAATGCAGCCTGGATGAGGGATTAAAGCTGAAGCTAAAGTCTTGAGGCTTGGTGATAACTTTATTCTTTAGAAGGGATGTTACCAACCTTGGAATTACATTCCCCCTGAAGGAGAGGGCTTATGCTCTGGAGGTGATCAAAGTAATGAGATGTGTGATTGATCCCACTTAGGTGTGTTTCACTTACTAATGTATGCCCTTTTAAGGGCAATGTTGGCTTGGCCTTTGTGATCCATACGCTAGCCACCTCTCAAATAGATTACCAGAATGTATTTTTATGTACAGGAATCTTTGAAGGAAACTGAGACTGTGGTGGGTCCAAAATGCAGCAATCAATCTTTTGTTGTGTATTTCCCTTTAGGTAGGAACTTGTGGTGCTTGCACTAGCTTCTTATATATGGTTTTTGACAAGCAAGTCCTCTCATGTCTTGAGTCCTGCTTATCTAAAGAAACAAGTTACTTTACCACCTTACTAGGTGAAAGTGGTGTTTGTCATCTATGGGCTTAATTAAGGGCATTGCTAACAGGACCAGTTAGAAACAAATAGGCCAGGACCTCGCTGCAACTGAGAAGTGGCCTTTGCCTTTACATGCTGATCTTAAGAGAAATCAAAGATCTTTTTTTATAAACGAGCATTCCCATCCAGGTTTTTTTTTTTTTTGCATTTTACCTCTACAGCTTGAGGACTTTGGGGGAGGGGGGTGTATGCATTACTGATTTGCTTTATTCAATGCTGCTATTCAATATTCAGTTATTGTAAAATGTTACAGACTGGCATGCCATGGGTATAAATTCCACAATCAGCCAAATGCATTTTTAAAATTGCAACGCTAGAAATAACTTTATGCCTACAAAATATGTGCTCTAACATTGGATGAGGCACTCTTTGGCTGCAGAATTAAGGAATTTTGAGAGCTCTAGTTCACTAAGTGGGAAGAACTGATGGGGTTTTTGTCTAAAGAAGTTTGGCCTCCCCCCCCCCCGCCCTTTTCTGGTCCAATCAAAATAAATACTGTAAAGCGTATGGAGCAATAAGATTGCCTCTTGCTTGGCGCATCATAGTTATATGGTTGGGGTTGATAGATTACCCTAAGTCTGAAATTGCTGTACTTTGTTTTGGCTTGGTGTGATAATGCTTGAACTCGGCCATTATAACTGTAAACCATGATTTACGGCTGAGAATTATGCATGAACCATTTTTTTTAAAAGTCACAGTTAAAAGTCATAGCTTAATATGGTTTCTGAACCCAGACATCGTCAATTAAGCATCTTCCAAAAGTTTTGGGATTTTAATATATGTTCCATATACAATTTGTCAGCCAGTGAGTGGAAAAACTTGTTATATGTGATAGATTCTTCTTCACAGGAGATCTGTACAATACAAGGAGATCTTCCTAGGGTGGATGGTCATCTGTTGAGGATTTTCTAGTGGATCCTGCACTGAATAGGACATTGGAGGAGATAACCTCTAAAGTTCATTCCGCTGCTTTGATTCTACAAAATATATCTGGAGGCCATCCAGCTGAAGGCGGCTATACATAAAGGCTGAGGCCAGTCTTTCTCTTCTGTGCTTGTGCCTGGCATGAAAACACGTTTCAGCTTTCAATATGACATGCGACTAATTAAGCAAACATGAAATACATCGTGCCAACAGAACAGAAGCCATCTGTTAGGAGTTACAACTCTGCCTCTGGTATCACATTTCAAGGAGTCTCAGATTTTCTTAATCAAGACTCTGACAGCCCTGAGAGGCTGACAAAACAACAGATGATGGAGGTGAGGGATGACAAATCAGCTGATGGCATCACTGACAGGGGAAAATGGTTTGTATGGATTGATCAGCTATAGACCCTGGAGATGGAATGAACAATGGAACTTCTGCCCATAAACAAGGCCAGTAGATACAATTAACAATCTGCAAATAATCTGTCCTTTACCATCAGTTAATTTTGTTTTTCAAACTTATTTGCCCTTTGCTACTTCTGGAGCATATCAGAGTGAACATTGATATCTTGGCTCAAGGAAGTATTGCAGGATCCAATCTGGGTTGATCACTGGGACCAGAGGTTTTGTCTTCCAAGCTTTCGGACTCATGCTGGAGCCCATCCTCATCCTCACACAGAGGAGTTCCCCGAGGATGGGCTCCAGTAGGAGTCCCAAATCTCAGAAGACAAAATCTCTGGTCCCAGTAACCGATCCAGATTGGATTCTGCAACATTATCCTAGGACATGTGTGTTCATCTTTATTTGTCAAGGAATCATGTATATGCATATGGTATTTTATATTTTGCCATGGACAATAACAAGAATCCTGGTGTAATGGGCTAAGGAGACCCAGGTGCCATTCCAGCCTCAGCCATGGAAACTTACTGGGTGAATAGGGACCAACTGCTCTTAGTCCAACTTACTTAATAGCTTTGTTGTTGCAGTGATGGTGGGGGAGTGGAAATTCCTGGGGAAAATCAGAGGTGAACAAGTTTTTCTAACTCACAAGCAGCTTAGTTTTCCAACTTGCTAGCCTGTCAAAGAGGTGGCAATGTTTCTAATTTTCATTTTTTTTTAATGAGGCCTTTTTAAAGTGAGAGATGGCAACATTTACCTTAGAAGTCTGAGTCCCTTCCTCAGAAACCCCTGCAACAGAGTATAAGGAAATTTAGTTTGGTCACTGAAAATGATAGGTATGGTCTTGGAGTGTTTCTGAAATCACAAATGGAATCCTGGGCCACCTGTGGCCTATAACGATAAAAGAGAGCTAAGATCATACTTATTTTAGAATTAAAGTGACACAACAGTTATGTTTTGTAGATTGGAAAATATTAACCTGGTGTAGTTTCTTTGGCTTAGCATGTTGTGTAAATCCAGATATTGAATTTTAAATTTATATTTATATAGCCATACAGCAATATTTTAAAGATCATATGATTTATGACTCAGATCAGAAGACATTTCATTAAATAACTTGTATGAATTCAGAATGTCTGACGTTAGGTAAAACATTGGCAAGAGGCAATGAATTTTTGCTATCCTAAGTGTTTCTCCCTCAGCTTATCATATTAATTAAATGAAGAATAGGACTATGAAGATTAAAGGGCTACTTCCACCATGATAGGACTGATATTGTATGCAATAGGTCCTCTCTTTGCATTCTTCCATTAACATCTCTCTCAGATCTACCTATCTGGAATATTATCTGGGGCTAATCCCTTCCCTCAAAAGTGTCGACACTGATAAGCAACTTAATTAAGATTACTAAGATTAGAAGCTGCTTTCTACCACTTCCAATTATTGGTCTATCCAACTCAATATTGTCTGTGTGGCTGGCAGGCACAAGGAATATTGGCATCTGTTGATAAATTTCTCTGACAGGGCTGTCAAATTCGTGGCCTAGGGGCCAGATGTGTCACGCGCTGGCTATGCCCACGCCCAGTTTAGCAAAGGGGGAAAAAGTCATGATACGTTATGTGACGATACCATGACGATACGGGTTTGACACCCCTGCTATTTACAGATCAGAACATTCTAATGGTTCTGAAATAATCATGAAAGGTTTTCTTTTTTTACAAATAAGATAAGGAAATAAATTTGACTGAGCATATACTTCAAGGTTCTCTATTCCAGAAATGGGAGTCTCTTCCTGTGTGAGATTACACTGAGTTCCAGGATTTCTAGTTGAAAAGCAAAACGGGTTCCTTATGCTTGATAGCAAACTACTGTACGCCACTCAATAGTTGCGCAGTAGCTATACTATTATCCATGTCCAGATACGTCTGGTCAGTTATTGGCTTTGTGATTGAAGTTATCCTTTTAATTCTGTATGTACAAGGCCTATCATTATACATACTAAAGAGAACAATGTACTCTGCATATGAAAAGAACTAGGTTATACTTGTAGAAAGTCTGGTTTACTTGTGTTTATTTCAGATTTGGTGCACATGCTAAAGAACTGGCATCTTCATCTTTTCTTTCCTCCCTCATCCCCTTTCTTTACCTTTCTTCATTCTACTTTATGTTTCTTAGAGATATGTTAAAAAATTCGTAACAAATATGTATTTGCTCACTGAGACTTTGGAATGAATTGAAAGAGAGGTAATCCCATTGCGCTCAGCTACAGATCAGCAGAGGTATCCCAACATTTTTTAAAAAATCGATATATTTTGAAATGTTAGGTGAGAATGCAATAAACTCACAAATTCTTCTGAATGAGATAACAAGAATCTTCTAAGATTCCATGTCTATATTCAACCATATAATGTATGGGGTGGGGGTGGGTGGGCTGTGCCATAATTTAAGATGGTGATAACATCTGGCCCCTGAAGTGATGGCTACCACTGATTACTAACCATTACATTAAGCTACTGCTGCTTGAATAAGCAACAACTTGATAGTTTGGCACATCACACCAAGCTGTGTGAATCCACAATGGCTGGATTATGTAGGTTTTATAGATGAAAAAGAAAACAGGTGGAAAGTAAACTTTTTTCCATATTCACTCTTGATACTCTGAACATAGAGAAGCTAGTGGTTGTATGTTTATTTATTTGTAAAAAGTATTGGCTGCCTAGCTTATCTCATTCAACAGGGCTTAGTGTTCCATGTTACTAACATGAGCCTAAAGGGTGAGGTAGGAATCGTAAGTCATTGTTTAGATTCACACATTAAAGCGAAATATTGTAACCCATGTTTTGTTTTAATAAACCAGAATTGGCTAGATTCTCAACCAAAAACAAACAATTATGGCTATGCATGATGTATGCATGAATGCAGACATCATCTTATTTCAACTAAACCATACAATTGCTACAGGGGCTAAAATTGTATTTGGAATTTGGATAAGTCAAAGAGTGAGATGTCCAAATGCTGACAAAAAGTGACATCTTGGACAGGAGGCAAGGTCTACACAAAATACTTCCACTTGAAGGCATAAGAGTCTTCAAATGAACTCTCCCTTGTCTACAGAATCATTTACTTCATACTGAGTTTGGACCATATCAGCTTTTCATGACATCACCAATGTCATGTCATGTCTAAAATTGCCTGAGGCAAATGAATTTTTAGCGTCCAAGAACAAGACAAGTGGAAACTGATTTGCGGTTCAATGAATATTTGCTTGAATATGTATCTTGTAGACATCCTTTTGCTGGGAGTGACAATTCACACCCAATGCCATACGTGCATCTGCAGATGAAGGTAAACACTTAGATCCAGCAAGCCCAAGAAAACTGAATATACCAGCCACTCCCAACTTGGCAATTTCAGATATGTCAGGACTCTTGAACTTCCAGCCTGTGTCATTTCAAGATCATGAAACTGACAAAGGCTGGCATAACCAAAAGACATTTAAACCTATGTAGTGAATTGTTAGGCATTTCCTTTCCCTGCTCTCTACTATAACTTAAAAAGTGCAACATTGCTAATGGCTGAAAGCCAAGCTATGTGATATTTACTCTAATACCTTTATAAATAAATAAAGATTGCCAATGCTTCTTACATATGAGGATATTTGTTCTCCATATGCTCCGTGTTTGTTGGAATATAGCTAGAAATAATATGTTCTGGAAATACTTAAAAAGTTGTCCGTCCGTCCCCCCGCTTCCCCCCTAATTATGTCCTTCATTGTTCAGTGCATTGCTTCTGTTGCCTAAAGTTCTTCCCCCTTTGTCCTATTCCTGAAGATTAAATTGAGGTTCCTATGTCATTGGCCTTCACAGTGATGCTTCCAAGTGCCTGGTTAAGGAAAATAACAATGCTGCTTCAGAGGTTTTCCAGGCACCAAACATCATTCAAGTAGAAGGAAATGTGAGATCAAAGATGCTGTTGCAAAACCAACAGCTGAAAGGTTTATCAATTCTTTGCCACAGAGCTCCTGAATAAGTATAATACACAGGATCCTCTTTTGCAAGGGTCACTTTCTCTAGCTGCATAATGGAAATGATTCTCTCACAAACTGCCGGCACATAGGGCATTGTTGGAAATACTTCACGCACTCATCGCATAGGCAGGTGTGTCGGCAAGGAAGAAGCACCCAATTGACAGCTCGGTTTTGGCAGACGATGCAGTCCTTGCTGCTCTCTTCCAGCACTTCTGACTCAGTCTCCACCAGGCCAGCCTTTTCAAGCAGGACGTGGTCTTCAGTCCTTTCATTGGAGAAAGAGTCACTTAGAGAGGATGCATTGTTGCTGGCAGACATGAACAATTGCTGATGGAGGGAAGATGGGAAGAATTAGAAGAAAGAAACCAACATTTAAAAATATCAACTCCCTCTAAACCCTTAGGTTAGGACATGTTAATAATCCTCAACTTTATGGACTGTCAGATACATGCTGAATTTTAGAACGCTTTTGTGGTCACTCCCGCAAAATGGCTCCTAGGGGAAGCCTTGCCAATTGTTAAATGCATTGGCAAGTAAACAAGGGCAGTTTAACAGAATATTCCCTGATACTCAGTTATCTTTGTCCTCTTTCTGGGAAAAGGATACATTTCTGTACAAAACGCAAGACTTCTTTTTTTTCTAATAAACCAAATGGGGTCTATTTCAGACATAGAGTCATTTCTTACAAATAACATTATTTTGACATTTGTTTCTTCTCAAAATCTAAACATTCGGGTTATGCTGAAAACTTGGCAAGCACCAAGGAAGGTGTCTGTGGATTCACTGGGTATCCATATGTCACTTTAGGATAGGTTTAAGCAAGTTTTAGATGCGTGGAAGTTCCAGAATTGAAACTTGCTGATGTTGAGGAATACTACTAATTTAGGAACAAAATATGTATGATTTTAATTTTGAGCCAAAGTCTGGATACCTGAGGTTCCCTATGGCCCAGCCAAGATCTCTTATGTAAACAGAATTTAGGGAGAAAATACTACAATGGCAGTTTCATGATCAGCAATCAGGGAGCCTCAGAGAAGGGAGAGGAAAATGAAAAGTAATACAATGAAAAAGACATTTCACATATTGTATTGGCATGTTGTGTAACTGGAAAACTAGGAATTGGAAAGTAGTGAAAGTTAGTGGAAAAGAAAGAATGGTATCCTTTTTCACTATGTTCTCAAGAAACATGAGAAAAAGTGCATTGATTCCTGGTATTCAGATAAATGCGTAAAGAAAATCAAAAGAGACACTTCCCTAACCATGGCTTAACTTTACTTTCTAATTCCATTGAAAGAGGAGCCTAGAGGGGAAAAAACAGATAAAATTTTACTATCAAGTGCACTGACTGAGATCTACAAGATTGTGATAATATAAAAATGATTAGTTTTTAGAGCGCAGGAATAGGCGTAAGAGCAAAACTGTAATACAGCATATTTGGTTTTGGCTTATTTTGATCGGGGATTTCAACAATAACGATGTAAGCCGTAGTTTAATGTAACCTAATGTATGAAATGAGCCAGAATGTTTGTCAACAAACCTAATGAAGAATGCACAGGGGAAATTTAGAGAGGCAGACTGGAAAAACTTACTCCAGGGAATCTAGACAATTATAGCTTTCAATTACGAAAGATTATAGATTTGCTGATGTATAAAAAAGCTTTGCTCTTACTTAACGCATCACTACACAAGACTTCTGCATCAATTAAAAATCAGCTCTCGATGTGTGTAATCAAACAAGACGACTGGCTGGTTTAAAGAACACAGTCCTTTTTCAAGTTTTATGACCATTTGTTCAAAATCCCTGGAAAGCTCTTTTTTTTTGCTTTGCAATACTGTGATTCCAATGGGGCTTATGAAGGGTCTATTTATCTGTAAGAACCCTTGTCTAATTTTGCTTCTTAATTCCGAGATTTCAACTTTTTTTGTCTTTTTGAAGAGAGCAACCTTTGGCAAAACAACAACAAACCCTGATCTAGAAAATGAATCTGAAAACTTACCTTTAGATCATGAAATTGACCTTGGGCCAAAAGGAGATATTGATACAGTATCCGGCAGGAAAGCCTGTAACTGGCATCTGGAATATGTATTATTGATACCATTGAAATCTTTAACAAAGACAGAAACATTTATTTCAGCACATTGAACTTTTCAGTTCAAGCAAATCCCAACCAGATCACAGCATAACTAAAAATATTAACAGATGATATCAATTGTTAACTCATTTTAAATTGAGTCTCTGTTTGCTTAGTATAATAGACTTTACATATTAAAAATGCACCTGTTAAGCTTGAGTCACCTTCAAACCCACACATACATTTTGAAGCCTGTGCTATACACACAAAATTATTACTATGTTTATTCTCTTCCAATCATTTCAGAGCTGTGAATCAAACACCTACTTTATGATACTTGCCTATTAATGGTCTGTAATTTAACTGATTTACGTGGTCATGATAATTACTGTTTTTATATAAATGCTTCCATAGCTGTGAAATAGTTTGAAGTTATTTTGAATTCAGATTGACTATACCTTAACAAAAAGGCAATCACTGTGTAACCTTTATTTCAATTATTTATTATGAAAATACATTTAGTTTCCAAACAATATTCTAGTGAACTTCTGCTCCCACTGATAGTGATTTCTGTTACATGATAGTTTAATATCACCTAAGAAAATTAGTCTGGCTTCATTAGTTGACGATGCAAGTTAAAAGCTTGCCAAAATATTAACATTTGCAATTAAGCAGTAAAAATAGTGAGGTTTTATTTTTGTAATTTTCATATCTAAAACAGGTTATATCTATGGATATAATGAGCTCAAGAACTATGTTTGGAATTACTTCTAAAGTTTTATTTTAGCCATACTAGTTGGGGAATTATGGGAATTGAAATTCCAATACATTTGGGAAGTAGCAAGTTGCAGAAATGTAGCCAGTAGCTCCCAAATTCCTCTTTTATATAGAGCACTACATTACTATTAAAACTGATGCGCACATAGACCATAAAGTCATTTTTAAAAAATAAAATGACAATTTCATTCAATTCACTCAAATTCTTACGACTGTCTACATATATAATCATCTATAACATTTTCAAGGACCATCAGTAGTTCCTGGATCACAGGCTGAGAACTGAATAATTTTCAATAACTGCACTTCTTTCAATTTCAGGGGTTACCAGCAGTTACAGTTTTAAACATGAAGAAATTCATATTAAAACTGAAAGTTCTCTAAGAGAAATGAAAAAAGCTCAAACACCGTAGTCAATTCTATTCAATGGTAATTTTTTTAAACATGTATAGGACAATACAAATTCCTCCCTGTTTAAAAAAGTGGAGATTACATACAATGTCATAGATTTCTCTGTTGTCTTCGTCAGCAAGGGTTAACAGTACCACTAATGGGTACTGAGATCTAGGCACTAGACCAAAATCATTGGTGTCTGCCTCTTCTGGTAACCGGCTATGCTTTTCCTGTTCTTCTGTCTTCTTTATACTTTGTTGTGTCAAGGAACAGTCTTTATAGTCACAAAAAACTATTACGCTAATTATGCTATCAAATTTACAAAGGAAATTCAAACTACATAACAACCACTATTCTAAAATCTCAATAGCTTTCACCTGAGACAAAAGAATAAATTACCTGTTAATTATTCAGGACACAGAAATTAGGATTGAACCTTTAAATTGTTGTCTTCAGCTTTAAAAGCATCACTAGCTCCTACAAACAACATCCAGCACTACATAATTAACTTTCAGTTCAAATAAAAGGATTTCCCTTTCATAATTAATCTTTCAAATTATTCTGAAATATTTACCTGCCCAGGAAGTACATATAGTTCATTCTACCAACTTGTCTGTCTAGTGGTAGATATATTGGAGTTAAACAAGCTTTGAAAATGATTTGGAAGAAGAATGGCCGAAGCCAGTAAGCACAATACTGCGGTTATTTGTAAAAGCAGACACTTCCATGTCAGCCCTAAAAAAGACATGGTCCTTGCTTACCAACTGTCCTGTTTTGTGAACTTTTAAAGTTGCAGTGGCACTATAAAAATAATTGTCTTCACACTTACGATTGTCACAGCATTCCTGCTATCATATGATCATTATTTACACACTTCAAAGCTGGCTTCCTACAGACAGAATCAGTTGAGAAGCTGGCAGTAAAATTGCAAGTTGCAGTCACATGAAATCCTACTTAACAACTGCAGATAATTTGTTTAATGACTGCAGGGAAATGAGGCAATAATCACATGACTCACTTAGCAATGGAGTTGCCTGTCCCAATTGTGGTAATTGAGGATATATACCTGTATTTTAATGAGCTGAAGTAATTTAATGGGGTTATCACGATAATTGTGTCATTTTTTTTAAGCTTGCATACAAGTCAGAAAACAAAGCAAAGCAAAACAAAACTATGATCATCTGAATTCCATCGTAATTTTTCAAAACATGCCCAGTCTTACAAGAACTACTGGATTTCACTCTGTGAGGGCAGAAATAAGCTAATAACTACAGTAAGAAGGCAGTACGACCTACAAAACTTCTCTGGATTAGTATAAACGGTTTTTAAAATGCAGAAATTTTGCCACAAAATAAATGAAATTACTGTAACTTTTAAAATGCATGCAATGTTTGAAGCTTAAGCATAATTAAAACAGGTAGAAAGATATTAATGACTGGTCAAAAGGCATGAGATATTGCTGTTCCCCTTATTTTTCTTTCTTCTTCTTCTTTGCAACCATAATGAACCCTTGCTTACTAGTACATATTATATTTACAAGAGAAAAATTGCCCCTGTATACTGGGCAAAATTGAAAATACACAAGCTTCACTAAAGGATACCAATACTGTTGACAATACAGATACTCATGACACATTGCATCCTCAAAAGACTGGGGAGTTTTTATTCGAATGCTGTAGGCATGCTTCTGCAGAGCATCATGGACCTTTTGCACGCTGCAGCCCCAATAGCATGAAAGGAGAGAGTCTTCCAGGCAATTAGACACCAGGGTAATGCCATCTTGAGGAAAATGAAAACAATGGTACAAATGTATAACAAAGAATTGTGCTACTCAAAACTCAATAATGGAAACAAAAGATTACCTTTCTACCATGCTACTATTATCATAAATCTAATATTCTCCTAGTCTGTCCTTCAAATTTCCACGCTCAATAGATTTTCTTCAAGCAGTGAAAATCTAAAACATTCCAAAACTGACCCATTATGTTTTTAAGGCCATATAAGGTTATAAATATACTCAGATTAAAACTGTCACTTCCAAATTGTGCTATTAATATGATGACCTAATTCTTGTCATGTAAAGTTAACCAATAAACCAGCTGCATGCTTTCTGGTGATTCTCTGTAATGAGCTTACAGTGCTTCAGCTCCCACGTCCACAAGGACAAAACCATTATCCACAGATAAAAAGTGTTTTCTTTCCCCCACAAACAGTAGTTCTTATTTCAATTAGGTTTATAGTGCAAATTGAAACCTATAAGGGGCAGAATTCTCCTTAAAAATACTTTTTCTATTTCCTTTTGCATGCTTATTGCTTGAGGGATAATAACAGAAGTGATCCACTTCATCTGGTAAATACAAATAAAAATGGAGATAACAGAAAACAGAAAATGTCAACAAATATAATATACAATATACTGACTTAAAGCTGAAGCAGTTTCTGGGTTTTTGATTTCTAAACTGAATGGATTTTTCACTTGCCGCATCTTTTTCTGAGACACTTTCACAATTGATTCAGTTTCTTCTGAATTCCTCAGAATTACAGGAACATCCCATCCAAACCTAAGAAGTACAAAATGTTTGTAATCATAGAATTAGAGACCTGAAAGGGCTGAATGTAACCCAGTCTTCAGTGCAACTTAAAAGCATGAGGGAAACAAAGATTTGTATTAATGCTCAAGTCTGACTATTAAAGGAATAATAACTTCTTCAAAGAAAATACCCTCCAAATTTTGTTGCATTTGCTTTAAACCATCTTGTCAATCAATTCAGTTTTCCTTACAACTTTTTTTTACAGGGAAACCACTGTTATTTTCCCCCTCCTATTAAAAATATACAAGCAGAGCCATTTTTTAACTCGGCCTAAGCACCACTCCTGATCATTTCCCATCCCTACATGGTTTCTACAAAGCTCCATGCTTTATTCCACGGTATCCAGATAACAGATAATCAGGGTTGGAAGGGACCTTATAGGTCATCTAGTCCAACCCTCTGCCCAAGTGGGAGACCCTACACCATTTCTGACAAATGGCAGTCCAATCTCTTCTTGAAAGTCTCAAGTGATGAAGCTCCCACAACTTCCGAGGGCAAGCTGTTTCATTGGTTGATTGTTCTGTCAGAAAGTTTCTCCTTATTTCCAGGTTAAATCTCTCCTTGTCCAGTTTCCATCCATTATTCCTTCACTGGCCTACTGGTGCTTTAGAAAATAGCTTGACTCCTTCCTCTCTGTGGCAGCCTCTCAGATATTGGAACACTGCTATCATGTCTCCACTGGTCCTTCTTTTCACTAGACTAGCCATGCCAGTTCCTACAACCGTTCTTCATATGTTTTAGTCTCCAGTCCCCTAATCATCCTGGTTGCTCTTCTCTGTACTTTTTTTGTAATGTGGTGACCAAAACTTTAAACCTCTCAGATTTCCCCGATTATCTTGGTCAATTCCTCCCCATTTAAATGGACTCTCACCCAACCCATAAGGTTCCTAACACTGCTTTTCTTTACAAGCATTTAAGAGTGATGATGCTTTCAACAGCTTTAGTGAAGGCTACGTTAAATCCCACAGGAATCATTCCCAGCCCAGACACACTGGACTTATTATAGATAAGTATATACTTTTGTATTGAAATTATTAAAAATACACTTCATCCTACCAACGCACATCCTATGGAAAATCTGACAGTGGGAATTCCTTGTCCATCGCAAGCGGAGGGTACCCGGTTCGAGGACTATCGCTTTTCTGCATACTTTTGCACGAGGATCCAGATTGTTGGGGGCAACATGCTGACTCTGTAAACCGCTTAGAGGGCTGTAAAAGCCCTGTAAAGCGGTACATAAGTGCTATTGCTATACCCCACACTCCTCCCCCCACCTCATCAAGACTCTCATCCAATCTTCGCGGTTGGATTCCAGAAACCGCCGGCGCAAACTACTGCCTCCGCGCGACTTACCAGCCCATTATGAGACCGCTGGTTACCAAGAAGCAAACGAACACCAAGGCGATGTAGAACAGCGGGGAATACTCGTACAGGGTCACCAACAACGCAGCAGCCATCAGGTAACAAAGAAGAGAAAGAAGCGACCCTCCCGCTCCCAACCACCACCGTCCTTTTGTTGTCATCTAAGGGCGCATGCGCACATGAAGCGCATGCCTGCCAAGAAATCGGGAAGCGCCACCTCCCGACCCGCCACTTCCTCCTCCTTTTGTTGTTATAGCAGATCAGGTTGGTGAGAGCCTTTTGCAATCGCATCTTACCGGTTCACTTCGTGGTACTGTAATTAATGCAGATGGCCTCCCGTGTATTATACCACTCTTTCAACTCAGCGGTACTGTATTCTATTATTAAAACACCATTACAATATGCTGTTTGTCTGTTTGAAACGTTTAAACGTTGTTTTGGTAGTATGCAGCCGTACCCACACAATTTAAAAAAAAAAAATCAGTGCAAACAGGATATTTAGATTGAAGCACACCAACCTATAAAAACCACAAACTCAAAAGTATGGGCAACCTCTAGTTGCTGAATTCCAACTAAGGAAGGCTAATGGTGAGAGATGGTGGAAATTGCAGCTTCTGGAGGTCCAAACTGTGTGGTGAGCTTGAAAAGAAATAGACAAACATATTACTACTTCACTAGTAAAGTGCTACATGCATATTTAATTATCTTAAATGGATCCTTAGATGGATTAATACAAATAAGAATTAAAACAAGCATACATAAATTATTCCAGTTGTTTTAATCTGCTAATGCTATTGCTATTTGTATTTTTGAACATTTGTGTACATTTTGCAAATATTTGTCATAACTTGTAAACTTATATATTAAAATTATTAACAAAAACACTTAATTTGCATCCAATTCAATGATTCAGTTTTGTGTTTTTTGCCAACAAAAAAAAAATCAGTACACATTTGCTGGACTTGGGCTCAGTTCCACAACTTACATCCAAGTAGACATCTAAAACCAGGACCCTTATTCTTGAGGTTTGAACCACCTTTTCAAGAGAGGTTGATCTAGATTTCTATGGAGCCTATATAATCCCTGGCAACATGATTAATCGTTAGCAGACAGATGCTCTTGTGTCCAGTTTTTCTTGCATCCCAAAGCTTGAGTTTCAGTGAAAAGTGCCCAGAGATTGTTGAGACGATTGGGATAGTAGCTTTCAGAGTAGTAGTTTTCAGCTGTGACCACTTTAAGAGTTATGGACTTCAACTCCCAGAATTCCCCAGCCATTACTGGAGGAATTAAGGAGCCTCGGTGAGCAGTGGTTAGAGTGCACAACTGCAAGCTACTCCTACTGCAATTTGGCAGATCGAATATCATCAGGCTCAAGGTTGACTCAGCCTTCCATCCTTCCAAGATGGGTAAAATGAGGACCCAGATTGTTGGGGGCAATATGCTGACTCCATAAGCAGCTTTGAGAGAGCTGTAAAGCACTATAAAGTGGTATATAAGTCTAAGTACTATTGTGTTGGCTGGGGGATTCTGGGAATTTAAGTTCTTATCAGCTGGGGAATTCTTCAGTTGAAATCCACACATCTTAAACGTGATCAAAGTTGAGAAGCGCTGTTTGAGAGTAACAAGTTGATAATATAAAACCCAATTGGGTATCCACCAGGATTATAATGCAAATCAGGGTGAGCTAACAGAGGTACAATGCTGGCTGGAAATGATAGAGGATGTGGTCTAGTTCAGGGGTCTTCAACCTTAGCAACTTTAAGAATTCTAGGAATTGAAGTTCACAAGTCTTAAAGTTACCAAGGTTGGAGACTCTGGTCTAGTTCGTGCCTTCCGTCCCTGTCCTATTGTTCCCATTTATTCGTACCTATTTCTTGTATTCTTATTCATGTTTATACTTATACCTATTATCTTGTAAGCTATTGACAAATCAAATAAATAAATAACACCAGATTGGAAAAGGCTGGAACAAGTCTCAATTCTCACGAAGTGGTTAAGTCTTCAACAGCATATGCCAAAGATGATTTCCTTGTTGTCACATGACTACTTCTATAGTAGAGATATTAAATTTTTTACTAGCATTGATGATATTACGTCGTTTGGGCAATGAAACATCTGCAAGAAAACAAAATTTAAAGAGCGCCAAGGATCCCTCATTAACAAATGTTAAATTTGAACTTTTAAAATAAGACTTACACGGCCAAAATGTAAGTAATTGTTCTTTTTCGTTTTGGATTAATCATATCATTTAATTTTGTTTAGATTGGCTTTGTTTCGGTTTTGAAGGGGGCGGTAGCACAGCTTCATTTTTTGGTGGGGGGAAGAAGAAAAGCTCATTGGTTACCATAGCAACATTGCTTCCTGGTTAACTGAGAGGAGGGAGAGCGAGACGCATTCCCTCGCCCCGCCCGGAATGATAGACTATCGACTGTGGGACGCTCTTTATCCTCCAGCCTCTCTAGGCGTGGGCGGGTGGATGGAGGCCCGGGTGGGAGGGAAGTGGGGAGGCAATCGCTATAATGATCCCCACTTGAGAGGGCGTTCTAGTCCAACTCGCCTTCTCGCTCACCGTAGCTAGTGGGAGGCCGCCACCGGAGCTGAGCTATGCGATTGATTGGTTCAGGAAGTGCTCAGGCCATGCGCACTAAGTTGGGCCTGGAACTGGATTGGGGCTTGAGGCGGGGACGACCCTCCCGGGTTCTTAAAGGGCCAGCGCTCGGGAAGGAGGCTGCAGCAGCTACAAGATGGTAAGTTCCCAAGACCTCTTGCCGTGGAATCGCGATTCGTTTTTTTTTTTTAATTTAGGGTTTGGGTCTTCATCTTTCCTTTATTCCCGCGCTTCTTGCGATTATTTAAATCTAAAGAAATAGCCCTCTCCTATTGAATGGAGAACGAGATCCCCCCCCCTCCCCTCTAACAACAAATTCAGCTAAATTGAATGCAGTGAGCTTGTTTGTTACAAGTAGAAAGGTATATTGTGGCTTGTAAGCAACGTACGGGTTCCCCAAAGCTTTGCCTAAATATTTGAAAAGGGTTAAGGCGATGAATTCCAGTTACGGGGAAGAGCCACCAATTTTCGGATTGATGCTTCTTTTTAATGAAATTATCTCCCAATTTTCCTTCGCGCCAGAAGGAAGGGGGGCAGTTTAGTTTTGCTACTCTGTGCCGCCGCCTCACAGGAAAAAAAAAATCAATGGTTCTTGCAAAAGTAGGACTAAATTGCAATTTTCTTGCCCCATTTTGCAGTTCTCTTTCTAGCACAAGCGATCATTTCTTTCCGTCTATAGAGTTTTATTTCCCTCCTCCTCTCCCACCATCAAAATAAATGGCTAGGATTTGTGGTCCAGCACATCTGGGAGGTCCAACCTTGGGGAAAACGGATACTTTCCCTCTAGTCCAGTTTATCCCAACCTCAACCTGGCTGGGGAAATTCTGGGAGTTGAAGTCTACCCCTCTCTTTTTCCGAGATTGAGAAATAGTCTAGACTCTAGCCTCTTAACAGCCCATACTCTTCATCTCATCAACCCTTTCATGAAGTTTCAGATTGTTCTTTGACCCTCGAGTATTTAATAAATACTAGTATAACTAATAGTAAATAGTAATAGAATAATAGTAAAATGAATAGAAATAATAATGGATTGCCTTATTGAACCATGAGGGTTGGTACCATATTGACCGCTTTGGCATAACTTGCTCTAGGAAAAGCCCCTTCAAATATTTTAAATTTATGCTCACAGAGAAATAATTGCATTAAATTTGCACTTGACATTTTTTTCAAGATTTGATGAAGAAGTGGAGACATGAGTGGCTTAAATTTCAGGAATGATTGTGGCACATTTATAGGCCTGTTTGTGTACTTCGACACTCACTGGGGAAAATGTCCATGAGGTTCAACTTGAACTTTATCCTCTAATAAGATGTGTTTCCTAAAAATTCCTGAAAGGAGAACTGTAATCCATGAGAATTGCTCTAGAGATCTTGCAACTGACTGACTTGTGTAGGGGGAAAATGCCAATTGGTTTTAGTATATGTAACTCTCGAAGGAGTTGGCAAAATCTGATGTTATAGTACCTAAATGTTCCTTGTTAAGCAGGTGGCGGCAGCATCTAGCCAACCTTGACTGATTAGTTCTTGGGTGAGAAATCATCTAAAAATCTCAGGATGTTAGACTGGAAAATAATTTTAAAAAAAACTATAGAAGAAGGCTGTACCAAAAACCCCAAATAAACTGATCTGAATTGATGTCCATGGATTTACTAGGAGTTAATTTGAAGGTTTTATTATTTTATTATTGCTCTTTAGAATATATAATTTGAAGAGCTAATGTTTTTTCCTTACTTGTGTTAAACCATATGTCTGAATATTCTTATTTTCTTTTGTAAAAGTAATTGTATTACTGCTTATTGTTCTGGTCCAAAAAGTATGGTAATTTTCTATCTATAGCCAATGTTGATAGAAATAGCTTGTGTACATTGCAAGGAGAGATTGGTCTGAATGGCCTTGGGGCTCTTCATTGCCTTTCTCTTCAAATCCACTCCCTTGTGTTGCTGCAACTTCTAATTCCTAACTACAAATATTGCTTAATATTGAAGAATTTGACTTATCTCTTTGTGTGCTCAGAAGCTGTTGGTGAAACTTTAGCCTAACTGAAAAAACAAGACTTTTGTAATCCCAAGCTGTCTATTTGTGAGAGATTTTAAGACGTTGTTATGAAGAAATACAGCACATGCCTGTGTTTCTAAACCCATCAGATATAGTCAGCATCTTCTTCCTGCCCCTACCTAGGAATTATGCGCTTTGAAGCAACTTTTCTTAGATGTTATATTTCCTCAAAAATGCATTTTAATGCATTATATGCTTTGGAGGAATAGATGTAAGGTAAACAAAAAAACAGTTCTTATCCAAAACATTTTGCTATCTTTTGCAAAGGGAGAGGAGGAAAGGTCAATAAATTAATCTTCCTCCAATCCTGTGGTTTTTATACTGGCTCCTGCTATAGCACAGGACTGATACCAAATCTCTAAACAGAAAGATACAGAAGATGAAGACCTCTGAATCCATTTTATTCTTTTTCCTTGGCAACAGGATTGCGATATTCTGTTCTTATGCTCAAGGACTCCTTGCAGGCTCAGAACCTTATGTTATAAGCAAATGTTTTTTTAAATAGTTGGTTTGCATATCATAACAAATGCCTGAAAGTCAATCTGTTTGGGGAATTCATTTGTGGCTTTTCTGACTTAATGTATGGTAA